AAAAAATTTACCAAACAATTATTTTGGGGTCGCTGGAAAAGAATACAGTGCCATTTTTTAAATTCAATTTACAGAATTTTGTAAAAATCTGTAAAAAAAACTGTTCCCCATCTTGGATCCCCTATTTTTAATTCTTAAAACCCCCAAACTAGTGTTATTATCAATTCTATTTATTTTTTTTTTAATTTTTTCAACCATTTTTGATGAAAAAATTGACACGCCCCTCCTTAGGTTAGATTTTTTTCCATGCAACACCAGACGCCATCAAAAACAACACCTCATGAAACCTNCCTTTTTCCATGTGCTCCAAACATTTTTTCTCACACAAGATTTCCCATATGTAGTTATTTATAAGCACATACACATAAAAAATTGTGCAGTTTCCCGAAATTAATTATAAACCACTTTCAGTCTCTTTCATGGCTACAATCAAATATTTCGCCTCAATGCAGGGCTATATTCCTGAGTTTGGCTGCATTGCAAGAAGGGTTTCCATCAGACACTGTACCTACCGAGATTTTACTTACTAAAAAAATAATCTTAATGGAATTCTTAAAAAAAAGGAAATAATTTTTCTTAACTTCCATTATTTTGAGCAAGAATTAGCGTATAGTTTTTTAAGTAAAAATTAAAAGGCTTGCTATTTGTTTTTTTTTTCAGCTGAAAATCGGCGTATATGAAAAGCAAAGTAATGATTTTAGTTTGATTTTGAATCAAAAAGTTCGTGAAAAGCTCAAAAAAAAACTTCTGGAGAAATCGCAAACAACCACATTTTGTCACGAAATATCACGAAATTAAGCAAGCGATTGCCAAAAGATAAAAAAAATTTGAAACATCCCGAAAAACCATAGAAGTTCTAAAATTAACAACTAAAGCAAGAAGTCCCGTAGAAAACAAAAAATCCCCGAAAATGTCAAAAGCTTCTGAAAGATATAGTACGAAAGAACTCGAAAAATCCTGAAAAGCCCCTGGAAATAAGTGATAAGTAAAACATGCAGAATTCTAAGAAGTGCAGAGATAAATTCAAAAAGGACAGTAAATATTGTAAATAGAAAAATACTTGTAAAGCCCGAAAAAGTCCTGAACGATTCCTAAAAGAACTAATGAGAATTATGAAATATTACGGTAATACCCAAAAAATCATAAGGCATTTTATGAAAACTCCCAAAGGATAAAAAGTAAAAAAATAACCCTGAACAATTAACCAATCTCGAAAAAATTACAAAAGTTTATTAAAGCAACTACAAAGCTAAAGATGAAAATCAAGAAACTTCCCAAAAAATACGAAAAAGGGCTGAAAAATCTTGCAAAGTCTCGAGAAAACCTGGGGAATCACGAACGATTTCTTAAAAATTCGGAAGTGCATTCTGGCGGGTAAAATCGTTTCTCGACTTTGTTTCGGCGATTAAAGTATTCAACTACTAAAATTTCAACAAAAACGTACATGAGAGAATAGCTTTTAAATCGACTTCAAGCCTTATTTTAGCTATTTTTAGCTAATTTTGTGCAATATTTTATGTTCGTTTTTTTCTTCCGTGTTTATGTTTTGGGTCACGTTAAAGTTTTGATGCACCTACATAATTCTTTTCGTTCTCAATTCACGAAATTACTGCTGTATTTTCACATAAATTGCTTGGCTTTAATATATTCATACATATATTCCATAATATTTTTTAAACGTCAGTTTAGGAGCTACTTTGTTGAGTCATCTTACAAACTTATATTAACATCTGGAGAATATTATATACATAATCATCTTTTTTAAATAGATTCCGGATTAATAAACAAATTTCATTTCCTATCTTGACTGTGTATATCATAACACTTCAGTGACTTCCATTACGTGTCTACATTTATTACATACCCTATTTATAGTTACATACGTACATTCTTAAGCTAAGTCATTTTTGTAATTTTATTGTAATTTTTAAACTGGAATAAAGTTATTTATAAATATTAAATAGTCAAGTTTTTCAATTTCTTGTTAGGTTAGCTACCTGAGAAGCAAATATTTTTTCTATAAAACTGTCACCGTTTTTGAAATATTGTTATTTTTTTAATTTAAAAAAAAATCGGTCCTTTTTATGTGTTTTCTTTATCAGCAAGTGCAAACAAGTATAGCCTTGTTGATTTTTCTGTAAAATTGTCTCTTTTTGCATATTTTTCGGTCTTTAGTACTTTTTTGCGATTTACAGTGCCTTTCCATGCCTATTTCGCTATTTTATTTTGCCTGTCTTTATGAGTTTTTATACTCTAAAAATCCCTTCTGAGGAATGTTTAAGAGGCAAAAATAACAGGAAACTCGCCAGAACATTTGTACCCAATTGAAAATACTTCGCGTAAATTTCAATAAAGAAAAATTATTGCAATAAATTTACCACAATTTATTTTAATGATCCCACAATTGCAAGCTACCACTAAGTACACACAAACAGCCAATGCTAAAAATTACGTGGATGTAAAGCATTTTTGGCATTACAGTATTGAATAGTATTCATTACACAAATGCCTAAAACGACGCTTCATCGATCAGCATAATTTTGTGAAAATCGAACTTATTACAGCGATGCCTACTTTCAGGCGTTATAAAAATTATTGCCTCTGAATAATTAAGCGCATTTATGTTTGTGTTTGTTTGAACATATACGTAGCTGCATACGACTTCGGATTATACATATTTGTATGCAATTTATTCAAAAACATTGAACTGGATGTAGTGTATGGGGGATGGAATTTTGACCGCGGGAATTAAGGCCGCCTACTTATATGTTTGATCGCGGCCAAACTTCACTTGCTAAAATGAATTATTTCCGAGCGGGCTAATTTCATTTTTTGCTCGTTTTTGATTGGCAGAATGAAATTATCCGCATTAAATCACAAATAAATTTTATTTTTCATTTGGTCGACAAATGAAACCACAAAACAAAGAAAGGTGTTATTTGCAAAAGGTGTTCAGCCCCTCTTCTTCGGCAACGCAGAAAGAATTAGGCGCATGCCACAAATCGGAGGAAAAGCTCGGTCAAACACAAACATATTTGTAAGCACCAATCTATTATTATTAAGTAATTGAAAAATATAAATACTTACCAAGTTTTTAACCGACTTCAAGAAAGGGAGGAGGTTATCAGTTCGTCGGAAAATTTATTTATTTTTTTTTTATTTATGTTGCCGCATAACTTTGGACCACGTCAACCGATTTCGATAATTCTTTTCCCATACTAATTCGATTTGGATCATTGAATTAACGGTACTCCTAAACTTTTATATGAAAATTTAAGTCGGTTGTGTTTTCTTGCTTAAAAATTTTTGTATAACATTTTGTTGGTACTTGGCATAATCATATATACATATGTATTCTCAATTCTTATACAAATGTCCGCAGCTCTGCGCGCTTTTAGAACGGTTTAACTTTATGATTTCAGATGTAAAAGAAAGAAAATAAATTACATCACCGAAAATAATAAATTGTATTTAAAAAAGATGCCTATCCGTTGTGTCGAAGTTCCCAAACATGGTCAATGTATCGAAATTCAACTAAATTGGCCATTTCAGTTAAAAAAAACCACTTGCACTTTGTAGCAAATCTTTACAACATATACATTTTTTAAGTTGTTTTTATAGGAGGCCATTCTTTTAGAAAATGTGTCAGCCATTCAAAAAAAAAAAAAAAATACATTGCCAAAAATCAACAGCAGGCCCCAGCTACTTCAAACTTGCACTTTATTATACTAAAATTGAATGGGCTACAAAATTGCGTACTCGAAATTTTTCTGAGAAGTCTAATTAATAAGCTCGAAATTTTTGCGGAACTTTGTTGGTTTTTGTTTTAATGTTGCGCAAATGTTGAGACTTGGTTTTTTGAAGATTGATCTATAGTTTTATAATCAAATAAATAAAATTATACAATAATAAAATAGATGGTCAAAACTTGTCAATATGCGACTGTCGTAAAGTTATGATAAGCATTATATCTTTTAAAGGCTTCTAATAACTTCAAATTCTGGCAGGATTCATTGTATAAATACCAAACCAAGTAAGAATTGATGCGAGGTTTTCTCTTTTGCACCTTCCAGTTAGCAGAATAAACGTATGTACAAAGTTAATGAAATAATCTGTGAATAAGATGCCAGGTTGTTTGCATGGATTTATAAAAACACAATTTATTGGATCAAAAATTGTGTGCGTAGGCTCTGTGGTCCATGGTAATCTTCTACTAGCATCTCTTACTACCCTGCAGAGTCCGCAAAGAACTCCGAAAGCATTGTCCGGAGGATGTGGCAGACAGGGCTGCTTTGGAGTGCCGTCAACTTATTAGTTAAGAAAGTATTGTTATGTGGCACTTGAGAAGAGCATAGCATGCATTTAAATGCTTGGTGTTAGAAGTCGTTTCAGCTTTCCCCATATATCTAATTATTAATGAATTTAAAGATGAATAAGAATTAACCTAAAAATAACTCGAGTCGCCGTTGCATTAAAAACAAACATACGAAGACAGCGAATAAATTTTGATACAAAAAGTTAAATATGAGTATTAGAAATTTTATTTTATTAAATAAATAATGTTGATTTAAATATTATACAGTGCTTTAAATATTGAGGTTTTTCGTTAACTCCCTTATGTACATTAGACTGCTTCACTCCCCATACAAAAAAAAATCGGTATTGTTTTTCCACTGGTGTTATAAAATCTATTATATTTTAAGACGTCCACCAAAATATTTCAGAAAAATATTAAGATTTAAGCGAGCTGGACCGATTTGAAAATACCTCCAAAACTGGAGTTTTTTTATGAATAAAAATAGTTTCTTAAAAAATATTTTGAAAAATATTTTGGTGGACGTCTTAAAATATAATACATTTTGTAATCCCGGCGGAAAAACCGCAACTTTTTTTTGGTGATGCAGTCTAATGTATATACATACATATGTATATTTTTCTACTTTATAAAAACCAGTTTCTTAAATTTGCTTAAGCTCAAAATTATGCTTNAATATTAATAACTCTTATAAATACACCTTGCGCCCATCTGGCGTTATGTAATGCGTAGTGACACCCTGAGCATTTGTCACATAAATGTTGTGATCATTTTCACTGCCGCGAGGCGAGCGTGTTGTCGTTGTGTAGCGTGTCGTCTGATAACGACTGCTATAACGATTATTGCTAACATAATTCGTATTCGGGTAATCATAGTGATTATTCGCAGCAGAAGAAGAAACAGCGCCATAATACGGACGCCTCTTATTAGCAGAGGAAGTGTTGCCAGATGAGTAACGCTTGTCATTGTAATTAGCGGCGGAAGAGTGGGTGTAAGTTGATGAGCTCGCAGGCTTGTAGCGATTGTTTGTACCGCCCGGATACGTATCAGCGCCGCGATTATAATGTTGCCTATTATCCGTATACACCTGCACGAGTGTACTCTGTGCGTTATGGTGCTGCTGTGACAACGATGTGGACTCACTGTAGTAGATGGGTCCCAATTGCTTGTGGTCGTCATAATTTATGCTACTTTCTTCATTGTTTGCGATATCATTCTCTTCCGGACGATGAGTGTCGGATACCACAAAATGATCGGAATCCATATTTGGCGTATAATCGTCATAGTTGGAGGCATACAATATAGGTCTGTTTAATATTTTACCCTTGCGTATGTGCTTCTCATAGTGATCGGGGAATAGTACGCGGTTATCGCTTTCAGGTTCGTATGCTGCTGCTTCGTACTCCTCACGCGGTTGGCGCTCAGGCGCATTACTGCTAGCCTCATTGGTTTCCTTGAATATGATAGCCTTGCCGCGGCGCGTGTGCTTTTTGCGTTTGTCCTCAAACTGTACTGGCTGTCTGCGTTTTCAGGCGCGGGAAAACTTACCACACTAGTGGGTCTTAATCCATTGTGGCTCTCATTTCCTCAACAAAATGCACCAATTTTTCGCCACGTGTGTCTACAGTCTCACCATGAGCCTCACTTTCTTCTACATAAGCGTCTGCGTTTGCGGGGAATTTAAATTTTTTCTCCAACCGATCAGCATTAAATTTCTTAATCACTTCTTCTAGATAAACATCTTTGAGGCGCTCGTCGCCTATTCCTCCATTGCCTTCTGGAAAAAAATGTAGACTATGTTCACCACTTTTGAATACTACACGCCCCTGCGAGTCACCATAATCTGTGCTCTCATTCGGCACGCTAGCATTCTCATCCTCAAAGTCGACCACGCCTTGTGTATCTTCATCGTCCTCATCGTCGTGAAAGTCTTCCGAATCTGTAACTTCTGGAAATTTTATGCGCGCTGCGTCATCGTGTGCGGTTTCTTCATCATTCGTCGCATTTCGAAGGAACCGCACGCTTAGCTCGACTGCTTCTGCGCTGAAACTCTACGCCACCTATATATTCGGAAAGTATATTGCTGAAGAAATTGCCAATGCCTTGGGTAATATCAAAGCTCGCGAGCGTAGGCGGGGGCGTGGGACGTGGCGTTGTGGTTGTCACCGGCGCATTGCCGCCTGTTAGCGCGGAAAGTAAACCGAAAAGCGAAGTGCCACCTGAGCTGCCCGCACTTTGGGTTTGCGTTTGTTGGGACTGCTGTACAGCGCTGTTATTTGGTTCCTCCGATTCGCCGAAGAACTTAAAGAAGCCGCCACGGTGATTGTTCAGGTAATAGAGTATTTCGTACTGGTGAGCGACCGGGAGAAGAAAGTTAAAGTGACTGAGTGTGCTAAGCGATTCCATTAGCTACATAGCTCGTACTTACCTCATTCTTCGGACACTTGGCATAAGTTTGCGTACAGCTGCGCTCGCCACCGCTGACCCCTAGCAGCGCTGCACGTCCGTAAATGAGCGCTGGCGACTGCGCTGGAAAGCCTGAAAGGAAGCTGCAAGTATATAGGAAGGTACATTAAATATGCAAGTTTATTGCTTGCTGGTAATTGAGCGTGGGGGAGTCAAGCAATTCATATTTTAAACGAAGCAGAAGCCTTCGCTCAAAGCCCAATTTTCCTTCGCCGACATGCTATATTCAAAAGCAATCACTGCACGGTATTACTGTTAATACCCAGCAACATTAAAATTGAATTACTCTTACCTTATTTTAAGTTTTCTTACAACTACTCCATCTCTTAAAGCTGCCAACACACATACATACTCACTTCGTTATCGCCGGCGACGTAATGAAGTCAGGCAATTGTCCACGTTGTGTTTGACTAGCAATCATGTTGCATAGCACCTTCGGTACACATTCCAAGTCATCATTGCGTGCAATATTCTCTAAAGCTTTTATGAGTTGCATGTTCGGTGGACGTCCACCGCCAGCAGCACCCAGTGGACGCGTACCAGTTAAGGCATGCAAGAGCCCACCACCACCGCCATTGCCGCCTAAAAGTAGGCTGGTGAACTGTGGTGCGTACTGCTGTGTACCGCTGAAGAGTGAGGCCAAAGTAGCTAAGCCACCACCACCGCCAGATGAGGGCTGCTGCGGCTGGTACTGTGGTGGCGGCGGTGGACGGTAATTAGGCGGTGATGGGTAGTACTGTGATGAAGGGAAACTCTGCGTAGGTTGGTAACTCTGTTGAGGCTGGTATTGCTGCTGCTGGGTTGGGTAAAACTGTGATGTTGGATAGTACTGTCCAGGTGGTTCTCTTTCTCCCACCAACGACTGTTGTGCTGGTGGTGGTGGTATTTCTCCCAATTGATACTGATGATAATTACTATTGGGCGGTGGTGGACGTCTTATCGGTTCATTGCCTTGCGGAAAGTAAGGTGGCGCTGGTCGTACTGGCGCCGTTGGCGGCAGTGCGGGTGGACGTGGCGTAACATACAAGATATCATTGCTATAGTGCGGCGGTGGACGTTTGTAATAGCCAGCATCACCTGCCTTGCCCCCGCCAACGCCTTGCAAATAATTACCAAACTTGTTTGCATAATTAGAAGACGTCAGCTCTGGTCTGCCGAATATTATCGCTCCCTTCGTCGTCGTAGTCGCCATTGTTGTTGCTGCTGTCTGTACTGGCGCTGGTGCCGTTGCATATGCTGATTGTTGCTGGTAATTTGCTGGGTTGTCTTCTTGTCGTTGCGGTGATTGGAAATTCGATGTTTGCTGTTTATAATAGCTGGGCGGTGGGTAATCATGTGAATCGTAAGAAATCTTAGTACTCGCAGTTGTCGATACACCCAGTTTACCCTTGAAAGGACGTTCAGTTTGTGTATCACCATCACGCCGATTGTAATCGTTGGTTGGTGGTGGGGGCGCTGCGCTCGCTACCGGCTCATATCTATTACTATACACTGGCTGGCTGTAAGACGTACTGGATTGCTCATCCAACACGTAACCCGGTCGCTTATGTTCTCCTCCTTCCAACACATACTGTGGCCTCTGCTGATTGTAAATGGCTGGTGGGCGTTGCGCTGCACCCACAACCAACATGGATTGCACTGTATACTCCTGTGGTCTGCCAGCTTGTGTATACTGTGCTTGGTATATCGGCTCGGCTGCTGGGGGGCGATAGTCCAGCTGCCGCTGGCTAGTGTTGATCTTATTAGTGTAAGGGTCACGATAGATGAGTATGGGTGTAGTGTGTAATTGCGCGGGTACAAGCGACTGCTGCGTGACCGACTGTGACTGCGTTGCACTGCTGTACAAGTACTTTTGTATATTTGAGTTTGTGTTAGCTACGGCTGAAGCAGCTGCTGCTTGCTCTTTATTATGTGGAAAGCTGAATTGCTTTTCCTCTTTATTGTAGGAGACTAAACCATATGGTCCACCATTACTGATGCGCTGTGGGCGATAGTTCGGCTCGAGATAACTGGGTGGATATTTTTTCGGCATTGATTGTGCATCTGAGGATGTAAAGGAAATAATTTGCGATGGTCGAAAGTTGCCACTGTCACCGTTAGACTGGCGTCGCTCTACATTGCCGCTTGTAGTGGACATTACTTCTGTTACCTCGGAGAGGAGTTGTGAGGGACGGAAATCCTCATTGTATGCCGCCGAGTAACTGTAAAAGATAAAGAAATTATTAGTTACGTAGCATTAAAAATAATATGCTTCCTCCGACGAGTATAAAGAAGTGCATAGGGGTGGTTTCAGGACGCAAAGATTCTGCCTTGCGAGAGCTTCAATGCTCTGTGGTTTACTATTTTTCGCTGTACAACTTTAAAACATACTATGCCCAAGTCAGGCAAGTGCTTCAAAACTCTGTCATTCCAGCAACTGATTATCCGTTATGGTATTTCTAAAATTTTTTAACCTTCAGAGTGCGTATAATAATATTGAGGCTAATTCTTTTACCCACATAATATAATGGAACACCGGAGAATGATACTGTGCTTTTAAATACTTCAGGCTGCCTTTTCCTTTCGCAGAGCATCAGCGGATTTATTGCCGATGTCTAGTTCACCGCTGTCAGCGTACTGATTCGGGCATAGTTATATGGCGTAGACCTTGAAGGAACAATTGTTCCTTCCCCTTTAAGGTTATAGAAGCCTTTTAAGCTGCAGTCTGTAGAGCCGGGGGCAACCCCTTTGTTCCGGACGCTGCGGTCGGTCAGAGAGAGCTCCGTTTAGTCGAAGGTCTTCTATATCTATAAGCAATATATATAAATCTCTTTGCTTACAAGATATTTCCCGGGAGCGCTTATCTTTTCGCCTACTTAAGTCCTGAAAACCTTTCTTAACTTTTTACCAGTAATTTCTTGTTGAACTTACAGCCATATACTCGACTGCTCCAAAACTAAAATCTAAAAGCAGGAAGCGTCAAATACTCGAAAGGTCCCTCATTGAATTATTGTATTAGGCTGGAAGACTCCTGCCACATCTTTCAAGCAGAGCTCGCAGATATGCAAGCTTATCAACACTTCTCTTGACGTATTCTCGCTAACGATCTACTCTAATAGCCGAACAGATATCAGCACAATGGACTGCTACAAAACCTCGAAGATAGGGACGTTGGTGATGCACGCAAGTCCTCCAGTCCGCCAACTTATAAAACTTGATCAACAAAATTTATTTATAAAATGACACGGCGAATCTAGCCCAGCTTTGAAAATAAAAGTCTGATTAACCTAAAAAGTCCATTGCTTCAACAAATGATGAGAACCATAAGCAGCCACCGATTATTGGGAAGGCATGCAAGTATGTATACCTAATCGGCCTGCTAGCCACCGACTTTGACTGCCGAGATGAGGAATGAATTGAAAGTATAGAGCACAATATTTGACGCTAGAAGATGCTCGGTTCACCCTTACTTCCTTGACTGCCTGGCGGACTTTAACGCAGCAGATACCCAAGTGGCCGGATGTAGCATGAGTTCTCTCTGAGTATTAAGCCGGTAGTAACGGCTATCTCTCGAGCGAATACGCCAACCATAGGCAGATTTAGAATCGCAGCTTTAGTAGCCTTTGGAGCTCTTGTTGACTTATTGAGGATAGGCCACCAGCCCAAGGCTCCGTAAAGTAAAATCGGATGAATTATGGTCATGCAGATCCACAGTGAACTTCCTAGTTAAGAAACCTCATGATACACCAAATGCTTTTCACAAGTGAGGAGCGCTGTTGCGGCTTTCTGATATGTTGTTACTTAAGAGAATCTTAATGTCTAGAATTACTTGTCAGTACGTTTGAATTTCAGACTTGAAACAACGAGTTTAGTTGGTGTAATGGCACTACTTTGGTGAAAAGGACTGAACCAGTTTTAGCTGGGTTCTAATTTTTTGGTGAAGAAAGAGCGGTCTTCATAAGGGCAGCATCTACTCCTTTCGCAGTACACTCCGAACACTGCTTAAATACGTTATTTTCTGTTTGCTATTTTCCTTTGCTAGAAGCGTAAGTTTGCTATCTGATTTTCTTTTCAATTATTAGTATTTAGCATTTCGCTTCACTTGATTTCTGCTCAATGACCCAACATGGCTTTGAACCTTAATCAACTTGAATATCAACAATAATTTCCACAAGAAAACTTTTCTCGTTACTCATTATGGGCACATCTCCTACTACGTACATATTTCACTCAGCAAGACTGGCACTTACCTCGCATAATCAGCGATAGCTCCCACGTTGCTGCTACCCAAAGCATTTTCCGTGTTGCTGCTAGACGTACCACCTCCACCACCACCACCACCACTGCTGCCCGCATTACGTATGCCCGCCACGTATACGGCAAATGTTATAATTAGAGTTGCAATTTGTTGCATACATTTCGGCGTTGGGAAGAACATATTCAGCAAAACCTTCTTGCTACTTACTTACGATATGCTATGAAGACTAGCAAATTTGCTATGGAGGCAAAAAAGAAAAGAAAACAAAAAAATTTAATTTAATAAAAAAAAAAAGATGGAAAAATTAGACGCGTACTCATGCAACACTTGTCACCACTTGACTTTGAATTATTCCAGGCAATCAGACAGCAGCAACTTCTTGCCACTCTACCCGCGCTAATCACGACTCACTCGCCTTGAAGTGCGCTGCTTTCTTCTATTCGCCTCAAGCGTATCGTAGCACGCGCCAAAGCAATTCGCACTTGTTGTCTGACGCTGCTTATGTTGCCTAACACTTTTTATAAGTATGTATTTTATTTTGTTGATGTTGTTGCAAATATGTTGCAGCAAATGTCAATGTTGCCAACGTCAGCAATTCATAAACATAAGCCAACAGCAATTGCAATTGCACTGAGACAAGAGTTGATAGTCTTTAACTAATGTGCTTATAAATTGCCAATGGAGGTCGCGGGCGGCGGAATGGGTAGAGTGATGGGTTGTGTGTCTGCAGCGCTCGTTGGTACTTGTCACCTCACCTCGTTTTTTTTTTGTATGTATGTCTATGTATGCACACACTAGCATTCATGCGGCGCCACTTGAGTGTATCATATCTTGCGAATGTAGAAAAATTGCAATTTTTCTTGTTATCCGCGGCTAGTCCTTGGGGATCTTACTTTCAAATACGAAGCGTCGTATTTGCATTAGCGTTTAAGTTGCAACGATTTGTGCAGCACCTACCTCTCCTCAAAACTTGCTTCTTTCACTTCTGCTACGATTTCTTGACAATTCTCACGTGCTCATCTGGGACAATAAATACTTTAGTTGATTCTCCCTCAAGCTTGGTATATTTGCGCTAAGTTTTATTTGTCTGCTCGAG